TTATATTATATATATATATATATATATATATATATATATATATATATATATATATATATATATATGTACATTTGTTTATAATTTCTGCTTGTTGTTTTGAATTTAAGTCGACAACGAGGTATTTATTGTGTTACAATAATCAGCTAGAAAATTGATTAATGAATGCCAAAGTTTACAGATGGTAATAAAATATTCTGAGCCAGTGTGATTAATCTTGCTCTTTCCTGTTGAGTTGGGAAACATTTTTTACGTGTCAACATTAGAAAGGTTTGGATTTGCAAATATTCACCACGGTTCATTTCGTGACGTTCAAAACTTGTTGTGGCATTTGTCGGGCACAAAATACAGAATGTGTATTGGGAATAAGTACTGCATTTTCACTGAATGTTTGTTTGCAGCTCTCCGACTGAATCTCTTGATAGTCGAACGTTTCTTTTTATCAAAATCTATGTTTTTATAATGTTAGTAGAACTCAGAGATACCTTACGATATGGTGATACCATAATAAAAATAAGTCTTTCAAGTAGTAATATAGACATTTAAGTGGATTTGCAATTTCTTCAATTATGTTTTTTAGTTTAAAATTAGAACGGTATTTAGAACTGCACAAATACTGAACACCTTTTCGAGAATTTACAATGTTCAATGAAAAGTGGTGACACGTTAGGTAGTACGTCAGATGTAGCATTCGCATACATGCATGAAGTGTAGATTTATTAACCACTACTTGCTTTTCCTGTTATTTGTGGTCAATGGTAAATATAGTCAAAAAGTTAAATTGTGATATTTAATGGTGAAGAAGTGGAGCATTGCACTGGATCGATGATACTGATAGTTAAATTGTTTGAGCAAAGTAACTAATGATTTAACTATTGATGAAGACATGATTCATAATTAATTCTAGGGTTGGACAGATTTTAAATTTTTATTAATTTGCGAAATGAATTCACAGTGATAGGTTGTGATTTGTGTCGAAAATTGTGCTGAAGGAATGTAAAATTGGTGACGAAAATTGCGGAATCTTGTGTAATATCGTACAACGAACTATTTGAATTCGTTCGAACCCATTTAAATTTATATACTCTGTTTAAGATCGAAGATTAGTAAGAACTGTGAAGATATCTATCATGAAACTTGTAATATATTAAAGCAAGAAATATATGCAATTAGGTTTTTTTTTTTTCTATAATTTTTGCATAGATTGATAATATACATTGCTTTATGGTAAATGATCTTCATTCATTATCGTATCCATTTATAAGCAGTTGTACGATATTATCAATCGATATAAAAAAAGTGCAGTGATACTTTTCAATGTAACATTCAATATAATCCTATTATTCAATTATAATTCTAATAAATGTAATCTTAATTTTCAACATATTCTTTGTTTTCTCTTATCGGAAATGCAGGAATTTTATAAATTTTTCACCAAGATGATTCAGTTTTTGTAATCAAACTATTAGAAAAGCAAACAATTTAACTTTTAGTTTTTTTTTTGTTCACATAATATTGCTAAGAAAAATAAATATGCAAATATGTAAGGAAAAATTTTTTACATACTACCATGAAATTTAAAGATTATTATTTTAGTAATTTATTCGTATGTATGTGATATATTTACTTGTATGATTGTCGATTATTTATTGTATTGCTAAATTATGGAACAATAATAATCTGTAATTAATTTTCCGTTGATCAATTATCATAATAGTTATGTATTTAAGAAACAAATTATCTTGATAGCAGAATTGATCACATGATCACAAGAAAAATTACTATCCTAAAACAATGTAGCCTAGATAGTCTTAGTAAGATTTTTATCTCATCGAAACTAGGGTAAAAAAAACAGAGAAGAGAGAGATAAAAAAAAAAAAAACTTACAATTTTAGTTAATAAGCCAGGTTAGATGATTCTCAAAAATAAATTGATATGTGTTATCATCATAGGTAATACCATAATATCTCATTAATTCTACTGGTCACAGATGAAATGATGATCAATATAAAGCTGAGAATCAAATTTTCTGCGAGTCTTTTAACCTTTGACATATGAATATGCAACTAAAATGACATGTGACAACATTTGATTGTTTCAAAAAAACTTTACAGTACTATTTTGTTATCCAATATTTTGCAATTATTGCCGTTTATCAATTTCTATCTAGCTATAGTATTTTTTTTTTTTTTGTCCGTCACAATAAATTTAATGGTACAATTTAGCGTCAAAAATTATGCAACAAGGATTAACAAAGTTTAACAGCGCCTATTAATTTATTTGATTTTAATTATTGATATTGATAGTCAATGATATTCATTGATATTGTTGTTTAATTATTGATATTGATATTTAATTGATATTTAATTATCGATATTGATGTCTAATTGATATTTAATTATTGATATTGATATTCAATGATCACGAAATGATATGCTAGAAATAATTTCATTCTTATTTTAATTAATCTTCCTTCCTCGTTAGATTAGGAATGAAATTGTTTATGGTTTATTCTAAAAAATCTTTATGTTACAGTATGATCATTATTTGATCGATCTCGTTAAATAGTCTAAAAGTATCTTGAATAATTTTATTTAAACTTAAATTTAAAATAATCATAAAATAATAATGTTAAAATATAAGCTTTATCTATAATAATCCCTATAAAATTAAGCGAAATGAGCGCAAAAGATTACGTGACAATTATTGCTTTCTTAAAATTAATTTTTTTTTTTCTGCTAATTATAACTGTTACAAAAATGGATTCTATTATTAATAGTATCAACAATAGCATAATAACTCGGAATTTTCATATTTGTAAACATTTTTATTTGTGAATTTAATGATTCGTTTAAATTTATTAAAAAAAAGAAACTGATAAATGATATTTTTTTTTTAACTTTATGTTACTTAAGACAAAAACAAGAAATTTAACATAGATTTATGCAAATTTATGGTTGTATTAGCATGAAATTAAGATAAATTGAAATTTTTTAAATTAAATTCCATTGTAAATTAATATAGGTAGTTTTTCACTTAGTTTTATCATATGCACGATACGGTATGTGATCGTAATAGATAAGAGTAACAATCTCAACTTCATACATTTTTTTTTTTTGTTATTTTGTTTCTATAGTTATTGAGATGATTTCATAATGTAACAATTCATAAATTCTTAATTTACATAGCTTAGATTGGAAGTAATTTGTTATATTACTATTAGTATTACTTCTAATAAGAAGTAATACTAGGAGTAACTTATGTCAGATGTTACTTGTAGTGTTAAAAATAACTTATGTTAGAAGTAACTTATTGTATTTGCGGTAACTTATGGTAGAAAGTAACTTGTTATGTTAGAAGTAATATTAGAAGTCAATTTATGGTTGTCCTGAGAGATTCTAGTTATTAATACAGCAATC